TTATATATATATATATATGAAATATTTCTTTATATATAAAATTATATATAATATGTAACAGTAACACGTACAAAAGGAAAGAGAAAGTTTGGTAGATCATTAATTATCATTAATTATATTACAAAATGAAATAAAAAAGTGATGGTTTCAGCAATAATAAAATTATTGAATGAAAAGTAAATGAAAGCAAGTTATATTTGATAAATAATAACTAATCGATTATAAAAATTAGGATACATTTTTGTTATTACTCACTTTCTTGGCAAAGTAATGACAAATCGATTTGTTGTGCAAATTTATTTTTTTCTTCGTTCTTCTTACTTGGTGCTAATAATCTCTCGATACTGAAAGAACATATCCTCGAATTTTCCGCGGTGTCGCTCGCTTTCTTCGACAATCCCGATTTTTGGAGCTGTTCATCGGACATCTTGAACTTGTTTCGTTAAAACAATACTGAGAATATTTGATCAGTAACATTTATAAAAAAAAAAATCTTTGATATCCTCTAGTGAATACTCGCGTACATTGAAGTTAATTCTTTAATTGTTGCTAGTTCTTCAAGGGGATTATATATGCATTTCTTTTATCAATCTTCGATCTCTCACTCACACTGTACATTTAATTAAAGATTCAGTTTATATTATTTAATCGGTACTCCAAAGTTCAATCAATAAACGATAAAACTTCACTAAAATTTAATAACACGATTATAATATATCACTGTAGCATTTTTATACTATATAGGTAATACACTGCACTTGAATTAAAAATCAGATATGAAAAAATAGTATCATCGATGATTGAACAAATCAGCAGTAAAGCGGGTTACATTGGTACCCCCTGATCTGTTCGAGAGATTAGAGCCGAAACCATCGACTGTTTTGTCGGGGTTACTCACGGTGTCCAACAATATTTTTTTGGCACTCAAGTCAAATTCTTCGTTCCTCGAGGCGGTATCTTGAAGCCACGTGCTCACAACATCATCATGAGATCAACCAATCGTATGAACTTCTGGGCGGATCTTGGCAAGCATATGCATCTCTGGAAGGAGCTTTTAATGATCTCGTAGTGCGAGACGCTACCACTAAACGGTGGTAATGAGGTGACCATAAATTTCTGTCACTGCCACGGAACGCCGTTTAATAATCATGATAGGGAACAGATGCGATGTGAAATTGATTCAGTTATGAAGCTAATGATTTAATAGAGTTATCATAGAGAGAGAGATTCCGATTATCTATAGAAAAATATTTATAGAAGTAACATGTTTATATTGCTGCGAGACTTGTGAATTGGAAAAATATTTTTACATATTTTATTATTATAATGTAAAATTTTATTTGATTGATTAGGATAGCGAAAGTATGATCACTCACTCAAAAAAATGTCTTGCTGATATAGGTAGATTTCTAGGTGTCACAACAAAAATTTATCGCTATTTTTTGTATCTGTTAGAATATTGTCTGTTACATATAGAATTTATAGCAGCAATATTCTAATAATATCTTCTAGAAAATTTAGGTCCCATTGCCAAATGTTAATCACTGCATTGGATAAATATGAGTTTCGATACTACAGCTAGAACGATCTTTGTGAGAAATATAACTGCCAATTATAACTGCAGCATCGAAAAATTGAGAAAAATTGTTTAAAAGAGCTAGATAGATTGAGCGCGTTATACAAATATGTTAGACGTGAGGATTATATATTCATTTGTTTCTTGCCGCTAATTTTTTCTGTCTACCACAGCCAAACTTTATAACAAGTATGATTGGCCTTAACATGGATAGGCGCCACAGAAAAACATTCTTTCTAAATTTCACAAACAGTTCAGATATAAATTCTGTCTCTGTCACTTAGATTGACTAAATGCGAAACATATGCGATATCACAGTATTTGCTAATCATTTATGTACCTCAGTTAATTTTGCGCACCCAGAAAATTTTTGCTGTAGTTGCAATACCACTTTTTTGAGTGCTTATATATCAAAATGTGTTGATAATTCTATATTGAAAATGAATATCTAATTTAATGATTATATCATTATTTGACAATTTCGAAATATATTCATGTCATAGGAATCGCTATTTCGATGACCATCTGGCACTGGCAATAGTTAAATAATGAGAACATATCTTTTATGTAACACACGTATTTACAGATTATCATATATATAATAACAAGATCGTTTCGAATACATTGCCTAATAAACACAAAAAACTGGACCTTCACTTATATTATTAGATATCACCAAGAAGCAGCGTATTTCCATCATATGGTCATTTCGAGGATTTTGCTCTTGCGGAGCAATTCAGGTAAATCGTGTGATTGTAATGTGATTATTATACTCTTGATCGTGTATATATCATCATAATAATTGGAAAAATATTTTTACATATTTTATTATTATAATGTAAAATTTTATTTGATTGATTAGGATAGCGAAAGTATGATCACTCACTCAAAAAAATGTCTTGCTGATATAGGTAGATTTCTAGGTGTCACAACAAAAATTTATCGCTATTTTTTGTATCTGTTAGAATATTGTCTGTTACATATAGAATTTATAGCAGCAATATTCTAATAATATCTTCTAGAAAATTTAGGTCCCATTGCCAAATGTTAATCACTGCATTGGATAAATATGAGTTTCGATACTACAGAACGATCTTTGTGAGAAATATAACTGCCAATTATAACTGCAGCATCGAAAAATTGAGAAAAATTGTTTAAAAGAGCTAGATAGATTGAGCGCGTTATACAAATATGTTAGACGTGAGGATTATATATTCATTTGTTTCTTGCCGCTAATTTTTTCTGTCTACCACAGCCAAACTTTATAACAAGTATGATTGGCCTTAACATGGATAGGCGCCACAGAAAAACATTCTTTCTAAATTTCACAAACAGTTCAGATATAAATTCTGTCTCTGTCACTTAGATTGATTAAATGCGAAACATATGCGATATCACAGTATTTGCTAATCATTTATGTACCTCAGTTAATTTTGCGCACCCAGAAAATTTTTGCTGTAGTTGCAATACCACTTTTTTGAGTGCTTATATATCAAAATGTGTTGATAATTCTATATTGAAAATGAATATCTAATTTAATGATTATATCATTATTTGACAATTTCATGTCATAGGAATCGCTATTTCGGTGACCATCTGGCACTGGCAATAGTTAAATAATGAGAACATATCTTTTATGTAACACACATATTTACAGATTATCATATATATAATAACAAGATCGTTTCGAATACATTGCCTAATAAACACAAAAACTGGACCTTCACTTATATTATTAGATATCATCAAGAAGCAGCGTTTCGCGGGTACCCGCGTATTTCCATCATATGGCCATTTCGAGGATTTTGCTCTTGCGGAGCAATTCAGGTAAATCGTGTGATTGTAATGTGATTATTATACTCTTGATCGTGTATATATCATCATAATAATCATGTATATTATGTATACACGATGTATCAATATTAAAGAATGCCACTTTATTTGCGGTCATACGAGCTAACGAGAAGTGAATTATACAGGTTTATTTTCAACTTTGTATAATCTATTATTATTCTATTGCAAATCGATTTTTAAAAATATTTTTACATATTTTATTACTATTATAATGTAAAAATTTATTTGATTGATTAGGATAGCGAAAGTATGATCACTTATATATCAAAATGTATTGATAATTCTATATTGAAAATGAATATCTAATTTAATGATTATATCATTATTTGACAATTTCGAAATATATTCATGTCATAGGAATCGCTATTTCGATGACCATCTGGCACTGGCAATAGTTAAATAATGAGAACATATCTTTTATGTAACACACGTATTTACAGATTATCATATATATAATAACAAGATCGTTTCGAATACATTGCCTAATAAACACAAAAACTGGACCTTCACTTATATTATTAGATATCATCAAGAAGCAGCGTTTCGCGGGTACCCGCGTATTTCCATCATATGGCCATTTCGAGGATTTTGCTCTTGCGGAGCAATTCAGGTAAATCGTGTGATTGTAATGTGATTATTATACTCTTGATCGTGTATATATCATCATAATAATCATGTATATTATGTATACACGATGTATCAATATTAAAGAATGCCACTTTATTTGCGGTCATACGAGCTAACGAGAAGTGAATTATACAGGTTTATTTTCAACTTTGTATAATCTATTATTATTCTATTGCAAATCGATTTTTTAAATAAATTTCGACCTGTGATAAAAACCAAAAAATAAAGTATATTTAAAAATCTTTCAAATATAATAAATAACAAATTAATTTAAACAAAAGAATGCTTTTTAATATTTATTTTAATGGAGATCAAACGGAGAGTCGTTTTATTGATTTATAGCAAAGAGATTGAAACATGAATAAAGTTCTCTAAAATCTGTCAATGGATACGACTGTGAGATCACGTTACTGATGTAGTGCCGCTTCTGCGATATTTCACGTCCGGAAAATTGAAACCTTTACGGTGTTATTAAGCCAAAATGTTTGTTAATTTCACGCTTAATTAACGAATGGCAATCGACAGTTAAATCTTCGCTCCTCCTAAACGCATCCGCAGCGTGACACGCGATACGTAATATAGGTTCCTGACATTTTTTTTCTCTCGCCTTGAATATATTTTTAGGGTCACGTTTAAATGTACGAAAAATATTCATATTACAATTTTGTGTTCACACCGTCATAAGCTTTAACTGATATCACGTTTGCTACACAAGTTTTGGAAAACGTGCATATTTCATCTTAAAATATTATATGTGAATACATAAAGGATTTAGTTCAATCAAAACAAAGAGAGACGATGCCACAAACTTTTATTTCTTTAGGTATTAAGACAGAATCAGACCCCTCATCTTTTAATTGTTAAATTATTTATCTTGCTGTGCACAAACTACCATCGGAAAATAAACACTCTTAATTATTATTAAGTTTGCATACAAACCTTTATATAAGCGGATTAAGTATGTGTTAATTATCTTGTCTCATAATATTATTCCCTTATCATATATATTATTAAGTATAATAAAAAATAACGAATATTTTAAAATTTATATAATCTATATAACACCAAAAAATATGTTCTATCATGAATTTTAATATAATTAACATTATTATTTTTTTGTCAAAATTCTATCATCCTTACCTTATCCAAAATTAGAATGACAGAAAAGACAATTCAATTAAACAAATATTATAGAAACTGTGCATTATCATCAAATTTAACACATGGTTAAAAAAAAAGTACCAAATATAAATATTAAAATGTCAAGCTCTTAAATTAAAAATATACGTGAAATTTTCATAATTTACTTGTTAATTTCTATGAAATTTGTTATACACATTTGGTCCATGTATTGCCTGTGACTTGATCCACTACTATAATTCTCTTGAAATGTTCTACCATTTGTTAGAATACATTGGTGTAGCATTATAAGAAACACATTGTAATAGTATGTGTAATATTATAATTAACATTATATTATAATGATAATTCAAATAATAATCACATTATTGCTAATTGTAAAATATCATTTAACAAATATATTCTCTTGTAATGCTCTATTGATGTAGAGGGTACATTTAAACATTATGATAGAACTCGCTCATTAAAACGTAATACTTGTGCAAATTGCAGATAGATTTTAGCGTTGTACCAAAGATTGTACAACAAAGAGTGAAAAGTGTTGAATGTTAATTACAACACAGCAGCAATTTTATATATCGAGAAGTGATCTATTAAATGTGACTGCTTGTGACCCGACTCGAATAGGATTACTTTACATTTGCTGCGTGGAGTTACCGTTCCAAGTATTATTCTCATCGTTATCATCCCCACCTGAATGCAGTCTGTGTATATTTCCTTGTGCCCTGATAGTTGTCCCTCCTTGATTACCCAAGTATCTTCTAAATAAACTGTATTATGGGAAATACATTTATTTAATATATTAAATAAATTATTTAATATAAAAAATCCCATATTTTATGCAACCTTATTACATCGCAAGTGCAGTACAAGTACATACAATTGTAACTATGCTTGTAAGATTATTTAGCGTGGTTATTGAGAAAACCTACCCCGAAGACTGAACTACATTTTGCCGATTCGGTGAAATAGCTCTGTCGGGGTTACTTGTCGCTCCTATAGCATCATCACCGGAATTGCCGCGTTGTTGATTCGCATCTCCATTAGTGCCGGAAAAGTAACCTACTACGTAATTGTAAATGCGAATAACGGGTGTGAAAAAGGACCATATAAAGCGCGAAAAGAAGCCGACATCTTGTGTTGAAGTGACCGCTGTTGTGACATTAGGCTGGAAATATAAAAATATAAATTAAGTAACTAAAAATATATTTTTCAGAAAAGAGAATCTATATTTACATTTTTCAAAGGAAGAATTAAAATAACGGCGGTTGGGACCAATTCAAGTTCGATAAGGGTCTTATCATTTTCCTCGTTAGTTAATTCTCTTCTTGGAAATGACATTGACATAGCAAATTGTCGGAAAGGCAACTCAATGTTTTCTGTAACATAGGTACGCAAGGTGCGCAGAGTACTAGATGGTTCAAATTGTCCTGTATGGGAATAGCCAGATGGTAACCTAAATTGAATTCTGGTCACAGTCGCATTACTGGGTGCTGGAATATGTTTAGGTTGCTCTTGGCTTTGCTGCTGTTGCATCTGCTGCTATTAAATAAAATTAAAAAATTTTTAAGTTAAATTTTATTAAGAGTGAAAGTTATAATAAAATATGATTCGATAAGTGAAAATTAGTAATAATACAAACCTGCAGCGCAAGCTCTTTCTGTTTCCGCTCTAGTTTATCTTGAGCAATTTGTTGCCTAACTTTTTCGCGAGCTGCAGTCTCTGCAGCCTTTTCTCGCATTCTCTCCTCATGAGCTAGTTTTATCTCCAAGTCTTGCTGCATTTGTCGCATTTTTTGCACATCTTGCCCCGTTTTGCGCCGTTCAATTTCACGATTCCGTTCCTGTTTCTGGTCCTCTTCTAATCGTTGTTGTCGTTGAAGATCGATTAACTGTCGTGCTCTTTCTATCTTTTCCTAAAGATATGCAACAAATATAATTTATATGCTCAAAAATTATATCAAACTTGAAGAGAGATAATGTCAAGATAATAATTATTACTAATCTACATACTTCAGCTGTCAAGTTCTTATTCTGACTTGCTTGTTTAGTTTCAACATCTTTCTTTGATGCATCATTATTGTCTTGGTTTTCTGTATTTAATGTTGTCGTCTTTGTTGCATTTTCTATAACATCTTTGTTATCATTTGAGCTATCCGCTATTACAGATTCTGTGATAATTGAAGATAAATCTATGTTTGGATTAGAGTTATTATCATTTATATTAGATGCAGTAGCATTTTCAGTAGCATTATTATTGCTACTGCTACTAGCAGCTGTAGCTTTCTGTTCTGCGTCAATTAAGTTTAACGAAGATTGTTTACTACCCTTTCCTGCCTTTGTCAGCACATTATCAATTTTTGACACTAACTCAATTGTAGTTATGCTACCAGCAACAATCTCCAATGGTGTACCATTTTCTCCAATGAAAAATAAGGATGGTACTGGTACCAATTGATCTGATCGTTAAAATTAAGGAAAAACTTTAAAAAAATATGTCAAATTTCTCACAATCTTAAAACAAGAAAACATTATATAAAAGGATACAAATCTGCGCAAAGAATCTATAGGCCTCAGACCCGCTCTCTAATCTTATAGCTACAAAATGCTCTTCCTCCAAGCGAGAAGACACTTCTGCAGCATTAATGGTTCGGGCAAGTTTTGCCGATGTGTCATCTTTACCTGAACATCACACCAAGAGTTAATGTAAACGTCTATATATTTATGCAAATATGATTAGTGTATTAAGGCATCCGTTTTGTGTTTTGTTCACATATACGTATACTCATTGCAGATTAAAAAAAAAATTATTTTTACAATTTACTTAACCTAAAACTGCAATTACGCACCTTCAACAAATACAACGAAAACTGCCTTCTTCGATTTTGATGTCGTAACTGCTTCGTTAATGCTTCCCGTAAACCACTTCATTATATGAGAATATATTTATATATTTGGTTTTGTTTTTATACTTTTTAATAATATATCACGATGATGTAATGAATTGCAGAATGAATATGCTACTAGAAATTTTTACTATGGATTTGATGTTTCAAACTCTCAGAGTAAGGTTCAGATAGGTACGTGTACGATGAATCGCCATTCATCACTGTTATCCTATGACTGTAATGATTTTACCCCCTCTGTGAAAATTTTGAAATATGACGTTTTTTTCATTCCTGATGTATATAATTGGAAGATATTTAAAAATTAAATATATTTTAGTTAAGAATATAAGAAAGAGAAATACATATATCAAAATATATTCAAAACAGAACACATTGCGTTTTAATTTTTCTGGACAATTATCGTCGAACACATGGATACACGCTCCTTTATTAAATGGACAAAAACCAGAACAGTCGTTCATTGCGAATTTGTCCCTAAGGCCTAGTAGTTATATCCTGAACAAGAAACGACGGATTAGAACCATTTCTGCGTGGTCCGTGGTAAATGATGTTGTTGTAAAGAAACGTTTCTTATATCTGTTTCATCGATACTACAATTGAGTGGAGGAATTCTTCAAAAATGACGCAGTGCCTGAAGAAAAGTATGTATAATTCATATCGATCCTCACTTAGCATAATCATAGCTCTCGCTTGAGAACCGAGCGATCGTTCGGTATATACGTTATGTATCTAGAAGTTTCTGGTAGTGGTGGGTGGTGGTGCTCGTGTGATACTTCCTGCGCCGCCATGCATTGTCCAATTCCGGTGTTTCTGATATGGGGGAACGACGGAACAAAATGTCGTAATGGCGAGTGCGTCTATTCCGCGTATTTGATATCGCGATAAAGTTGGGCGTACGCGTCCACCTTATCAGTTATCCCGACGAGATTCGATTATCCGCAGGCGTTCTCGTCAGGTTTTCCTTCGCCGACTCGTCCCGTGAATCCGGACAGTTCTACCGACAAAAGTGGCTGCGACGCGCAGCGTACCGTGTCGGTGAATCATATCCAAGATATGGAAAGGAGCGACTTGGAATAACACGCGTTAATTGCATTACTCTCGTCGAGTCCGCGACACATTCCAGAACACGTGCAACGGCGTACCGTGTTTCTTCGGCGCCGAACAAACTGTCAAATATTCAATTGTGATTTTTTGCAATAATCTTTGGCATAGATATCTCCATAATATGAAATCGGAGCGAGCATGAAGGTAACCGTGTGCTTCGATAACGTCAGGGTGGTGGTCCCATGCGGAGATGGAACTCTGCTTGTGAGAGATTTGATGCACGAGGCCATCCTGAGATATAAGAAGGCTACTGGCAAGAATGATAACATCCTGACCATTAATAGCCTATCTTCCTTAACCGGAGGTGGTCTGTTGGATCCAGACGACAGATTGTGTGATGTAGCCGACGACAGGGAGCAGATTGTGGCTCATTTTGTTAGCTCCGATGTCAATCATATTGGTGGAGATGGTGCAAGCTCAGTCGGCACAAATAGTCCTGACTTTTTCCATACGGATGGGAAGGAGCAGGCTTATCCAATCGATATCCATTCCTCTATGCCTAGTAGTATTAAGAGAGAAAGCACCAAGCGGTTGTCAATGCACGCATTGTCGACCAGAGAGCCTTGTCTCGCAACATATTCTGCTCAGTCCTTACCTAGGGAGTCTCGACGTAGGGAACCCTTAGGTCAAGATTCCAAGACTTCATATGAGTTTGGTAATAATATTGAATCTGAGGATCAGGAGGTACGAGAAATTGTGATAAAAAATGAAGCAGGTCCATTGGGACTTCATGTGGTACCGTGTTACGACTTATTAGGCAACGATCAAGGTCTTCGAGTTGAAGGTATCGAACCAAATGGCCGCATTGCTAAGGATGGACAAATTGATTTACACGACAATATTATAAAGATAAATGGTCATAATTTATTACATATACCATTTTCAAAAGTCCAAGAGATTTTTAGAACCTGTATGAATGATCCTTGTTTGAAAATTTCCATTGTTAAACACAAGAAGAAAATGAGGAATGAAAAATCTTTGCATAAAAATTATGGAAATACCAGTGGAGGATCAGAGAAAACTGAAGACGAGAATATCAAAAGACTTCAATGCAGCAACTATAATCTCTTACAGACTGCAAACACTAGGAAAATTGGACGGATGATAGAGATAGAATTAATTAAAGGAACTAATGGTTTGGGATTTAGCGTTACCACACGTGATAATCCTGCTGGAGGACATTGTCCCATATACATTAAGAATATATTACCAAAAGGTGCTGCTGTAGAGGATGGCAGACTTAGACCAGGTGATAGATTGCTAGAAGTAAATAACAAAGAGATGACTGGCAAAAGTCAAGCAGAGGTTGTCTCATTACTCAGAAGTATTCTTCCTGGAGGTAAAGTTAGGATGATAGTATCACGGCAAGAAGAAATTTCTTCAAACATTCCAGATTCTCAGGGTACTGCGACATCTACTACCTCAATTGCTGAGGTAATGGATAATTCAAAATATTGGAACGAATTAAATAGATCACCAACAAAAACGAATGATATACAAAATAAAGTAAGCACTCACACTTACGATAAATATAAACCAGTGAAGTCTTCTGACGACATTGTTTTATCTTTACGAAAGAATCGCGTGATAATGAATTTAGATATACCAGTGCATGATTCTGAGAAGGCTGGTTTAGGTGTCAGCGTTAAAGGCAAGACCAACAGTTCTGATGACAACACCAATATGGATTTAGGTATTTTCATAAAGAGCGTTATCCATGGTGGTGCAGCATCCAGAGACGGTCGCTTACGAACCAATGATCAATTGCTCAGGGTTAACGGTGTGTCCTTATTGGGATTGTCTAATTCTGAGGCAATGGAAACTTTAAGAAGGGCAATGCTTAATACAAACAGCTCAGTAACTGGTGTGATTAATCTTATAATAGCTAGAAGAGTATCATCTTATGACACAAGCGAAAAGAATATTGTAGATAATTTACAATCTCATCGTAAGCTGGAATCTGTTAGTAGTATATACATATCAGATTCAACTAAAACGAATGATGGCTTAATTAAGGAGAAGAACACTTTAAATTCTCAGACAGATATATTGGATAACGGAGGACTATTGTCTTGTGTAACAGCTTCGCCATGGAATCCTGTCATTGATAGATTAACAGAGCAATATAGTAAGAATAGTCTAAGAAACGAAAGTTATTGCCTTGCTACCAATAATACATGGATAGAACCCGTTGGTAATCTAAAGAAGACAATCATAGGATCGCGCGACGATCGAGTTGAATCAGTATTGCTAGAAGAATCCAACAACGATAGCTCTCAAGGAAACGAAGCCAAACGAAATACCGAGGACAAAGACAGTCAATATTCCGGGGATCCTACGTACGACAGTCAATTATCTTTGGAAGAATTTAATTCTTCATCAAACAAATTTTCTCGTGATGCTCTTGGTAGACAGAGTATGTCGGAGAAACGACACGCTGCTCTCGATGCTAAAAACACGGATACCTACAAGAGAAACAAGAAATTACGCGAAGGTAGAGAAAACAAAAACGCAGAGCAAACCAATCAGAAATCGACTAGCCAAACGAGCAATCATTCGAGTGATTTAGAAGATTATTCGAAGAGGAGCAGCAAGTCCAACAATTTTGAAAAATATAAAAGTAAAGGGGCCTTAGCTGAAAATACAAGTTCCGACAATAATGTGAAACACTATGAAAAGTCTGTCGATCCTGCTCAATCAGAATATATGTACACTATACCCGGATGCAATAATAAGTTTCTTTCACCGAGGAAACATTGGCTCGTGGATGATGTACACGGCCAAGTTATGAGTAGCAATAATATCAAAGATGAACGAGAAGGTTTCTCAAATAGTCGCGGTGACGTGAAGCAAGCTTCTCTTAATTCAGCGTTAGATGATCGATATAAACGTTCGCGAAAGAAAGGCGGTATTCGGTCGGCATTGCTTCGGTTGGGCAAAAATAGGAAATCACTCAATTTCGGTGATAGCATAGAAACAAGGCACGAAACCAGTAATTACTGTAGCGGAACAATCAATTATATCGCGTAAATGCAAAAATAATTTGCTAAATAGATGCATAGAATTTTGTAAATATACATATATACATATCATATATTCGTGCATCTGCAAATATATACACACATTTTTGCGTATATATATAAATATGTAATACGGTCTGTTCCAAAGTGCCTTATATCATTAAATGAAAATAATTATTTCTGTATATGTATATAATTTTGTACTCATCTTTAATCGATATTCGGATCATGTACTTACTATGATATAAAGACATTTGCATATAGTTTTCTATCGTTCTCATCAATCTAATAATGTACCTATTACGACTTATTGAATTTGTAACAAAACGTCGAACGACATTGAAGATAAATATCGTAAAAAAGTTAGGAAAGTCATGGTAGGTATAATATTTTATTTCACTTCTTTCTCAATTAATTTTTTCTAGAGTTTAACGATATTATTGTATTATGTGTTTCAGCATTTCAGATTGTTCCCAATATAATCTTTTACCAACAGAAACGTTTTCGAGGGAAAATTAATATACAAAAACCCAGAGCGCCACATTATTTGAGAAATTTAGTGAACCAATTTATGATGCCCTTCTACCTATCTCCAAATAAAGACAAGGAATTAGAAGAACTATGTCACAAAGCAATAAATGCTACGAAAAGGAAGGAGCTGGGGGAAGTAGCTAATCCTTACCAAAGAATAATAGCACGTGAGGTCCGGAACTGGTTTGATAATTCCAAACTAGTTGCCATTTGCCATCAAAATTCTATGACAATGGAGGAAGTGTTTGAGCTCCGAGTTTCGTTAAAAAAAGCAAATATGTACTACAAGCAATATAGCAAGAAGATTATGAAATTAGCATTGAACAATTCACCTTACACAGCGACACTACCGTTGTATAAGACCTCACACGGTGTTGTGTTCGGTTCTGATACAAATGTCACTGACTTTCAAAAAATTGTCAAAAAGTTTCCACAAGTTATTTTATTGGGTAAGAATAATCTCTCAAGAAATATTTATATACATATACGTATATATAAGAAAACAATTTTGATGTAACTTATCTGTTTTTTATAGCGGGCATACTGGAGGGACAACTGCTAAGCAGGGACGATTTTTTGAGATACGGCAAAATGGATCTTACAACTTCGCGGATGCATCTTATTCAGTTGTTACAGAATGCAGGCGGTAACAACTTAAATCAGCAGCTCACATATCATCAATCCACACTAGTTGCTCGATTAAAACAGATCGGTACAAACGAAACAACTTCTGGTGAGAACGAAGAATCGGTGCCTGTATAATTGCAAAAAAAAATATATATATATATATATACTTATATATATTCGGTAATTTATTATACATCTTAGATTTATCTAAAGCTTTAAGTAAAGTACAGTTTATTTCTTTATACCTTGTACTTACGGTAAGAATAAGAAATATCGGTAAAAATTATTCTTTTTATTAAAATCTCACTTACAAATCTCCATTGAAGACAGTGCCGCAATAAAATTAATCATTGAGCAAGCAATGTGTAACTTTTACCGCACATTGATTTATCAGAGAGTTCCAACTTATATTAAAAATATAACAAAAGCATATCACACGAATTTGTAACACATGTTTTAACATAAATAATAATATGTAAGCATTTTTAATCTTATTATCACCGTAACGTCGCGTTCACTTATTGCCATGGCAGTTGTAACATTTTAGTGGCAGTAATTGCAACGGGGATGACACTTAATTCCGTTTGTACCACATTTGCAGCCACCGGATGTGTCCCCTTTACCCTGTGACAACAAGCACGATCAATAGAAACGCGGAAAGTAACGATGTCATTAATTGCTAACAAGTCTACGTTTGTTAGAGCTTATATAAAAAAAGCCTTTAATAACTTTATAATAAATTGCAAGAAATAAATTAATCCACCCTTACCCCTGGACCCCAACGCGGTCCTCTGGTAACCCAGCATATCTCTGTTTTGCACATGGAACACACCAGCCAATCGCAACCCCATTTTTTGATAAGAACAACGGCACACGTAGGACACGCAAGTGCCTCGCCTCTATCGACCATCTCTTTGAGCATCGCAGCTGTCCTTTTAGATTCATGGTCTGTATCTTTCGAAAGTTGCAACTCCTGATATTGTTCGCAATTCTTCCCGGTATGAACAACCTTTGAAATTAAAGTTTATGTGCTTTTAAAGATCTTCGATTGCTTTACATGTTTATTATTTGAGTATGTTTATTGGTAAATGTATGTGATAATATTCCGATAAAAGAAAAGGCGGTAAATGAAATTTATTTTTTCTTTATCGCACTGTGTTATACAATTTTACAATAAGACGTTGATAATATTTTTATTCGATCGTAGTTGAAATAAAAGAATAAAAATATCCGAACGGGAAAACAAAATAACGGATAAAAAAATCGGTAGATTTAAAGACGAGCAAACATATTTGTAGAAATTGAAATATGATATTATTTAAAAAATTTAAAGTAATATTGCAAATAAAACTTAGAATTTTGTTATGCACAAAAATATTTATATAAGTTTTTTAATCATAAAAAAATGTTGATTCTCCACATGAAGAAATAACGGTATTTTTATTTCCATTATCGCGTACTTTGACTTTTCTCTTAAATTTATTTTTACATTTTCCTATGTTAGATGTTACAGTTCTTACCTGACAGGTGAGACAATTATCGGCCCCGCACACGGGGCATAGGAAATTGTGCACATCATCATCGTAAATGCACCAAGCAGGACAATCTGGCGTTTTACAGTGGAAGGCCTTGTTTCCAGCGTTATTCTCCGCTTGCGTGATCGATTTCGCAAGGTGCTGCTGATAAACTTCCGGCTCGACGACCTAAGTGTAATCAATAATAGGATCATCTACTTTATTAAAACTTTTGGCGATTGATATCTTCAATCAAAAAGAGAAGCTCACCGCCTTGATTTCGCGTTCTTGAAGAGTTGATTCACACGTATAGTCAGTATCTCTGTATGGACATTTCACCTCCGCCTCCTCGCAGTATGCAATCGTATTGGCGATGCATGGCCTGTGCATATATGATGAAATTCGTTCATTATACGCCGACACGCGCGCTTGTTTGCCTTGTTAATTATAAGTGAAGAAATAAATGTAATTGTAGGTATATTCCTTTTTTTTTTTATTTACGAAATATTTACCGCATAACAATCTATATTCATGCATGTAATCATATATTTTGCAGTAGCACTAGCATAATTATTGTCGCATTAGTAATGCGCATGAATCAGCATGAATCAGTATTATAAAGCAGATAAATATACAAATGTGATGCATCATATATGAGATATGACATATACGTATGTAGACATTCGAGCGAACTAAATGTAATGTTTCCGCGCGATATGATAAATTAAAATCGATGAGTGATCGCAACAAACAGCTATAATTAACGAAAGTGATTTATTATTAATTGCCATTATAAAAAAAAAAAAAAACACAAACCAAAACCTAAGAGATATGTAATCACTGTGAAAGTGACTTGTACTTTATAGATTAAACAATAATTAAAGCCGGGAAGTGAATTAATTTCTACCTGCAGAACATGTGTAAACAATCCCTCAGAATTACACCTTCGCTTGGACCGTATGTAACAAAGCATATTGGGCATTCAATTGGCTCGGAATTCGGAATTACGCCCCAGTTCTCCAACGATATCAGTTCCTCGTAACGTGCCATCTTGACATCTTCCGATTCATCTGTTTCCGTCATTTCTCGCTATTGTTGCGCAAGGATTTCAAAATGTATATGTTACGTATCTTTCTCTTTAGTTAACGTATGTACACTACTTACAAGGGGAGTGCACGACGTGGTACCAATCAATTTCAACGAAACTCGTTGTAGCGATAGGTCTTTATATCAAGTATTGGGTAAAGGGATAAGACGAAATTAAAAAATTTTGAACAAATAGAGCCTTATGAACAACTGGAATAGAGCGTTTAATCGAAAAGCGGGCGGCGCAGCGGCAGCACGCCAGACTCGTGTCATCGATATAACTGGTTCGAGTCCCGATGATTTTTACATTCTAGCAAAAAATTTTTAAGAAAGAAGTTTACTCATCGAGAGTATCGGGACTCGAACCGGCAATATCGACGCTACGAGTCTGGCATACTGCTGCTGCGCCACGCGCTCTGCGGTCAAAGGCTCTTCCATTTGCTCATAAAGCGCTCGGGATTTTTTAATTTCGATTTTCTCGCGAACGCTTGAAAAGCGCATCTTATCCCTTTACCCAATAATACTTGACATGAAGATCGCTACAACGAGTTTCGTTAAAATCGATTGATACCACGTCGTGCACTGCCTTTGTTAGTATAGAGAACGAAATGAGCGGCAAAGCTTGCAATAGTGCAAGACAAACATTTCAATGTGAGATAGCATATTGTTGCGCATTTGTTACCTGATGTTCGTTTATTGCCGATATTATTTCCTCTCTCTCGACAGTCTTTTGATTTTTTTCGATTATCTGTAAGACTTCCGTTGATGGATTATCTTGCGGCAATTCTTCAAGAACTTTATTTTTTGCGGACGGTGTTTTATTTATCTGCGTTACATTGTCGATATGCAATTCTACAAACAGAAATTGGTACACTATAATTTATAAACAAGAGGAAAGCGTTATTTATAAATTATAATAATCACATTTTTTTTTTGTTTATTATATCTTATGAAATACATTTCTGTATTTTCTTAGAATGAAAATTCTAGGCTTTTGTTTAATCTGACAATAAGTACAACTCGCATTGAATGTGTGAATCATATTACCGGGTGCTACAAGATAAAGAAACACTGGTGAACCATCCACTGCGTGCAATTCATCGAGGGTAGCCTCGTCATGATCAGCCAAGTTTTTCCCGATGATCCAGCGCTGCACATTCGTAGGTATTTCAAACTCCGTATGTATCTTCGTCTTCAGCTCAGCTACTGTCATTCTCATGGGCAGCTGTTATCATATTTTAGTCCGTAAAGCATTTTTTTGTATACAAGGTGTCTCTAAAGTCTGACCCGGCCTCCTGGATCTCGGAAACGGCTTTAGATATGGAAAAACGTTTCAGACAAAAGTTGTAGGATATTAAGGGGAACAGATGATGAAAATATGAACTTGATTTTGAGTGATTTTTTCAAGGCCAGGTCAATGTGATCGATATTTTCTTAAATGGAATCCCCAATTTTTAATTGCATATTCTTGTAGCTTATCTCAAGAGCTTTTCAAAACACTATAATAAAGTATTTTTTTATTAAATATTTTTTGAATTATTTTATATCTTAATTTGACATATTTTGATATAGAAAATAAAATATCTCGTAAAATATTTAGTTTTCGATAATCTTACCGTAATACTTTTATGTACAGAACAATGGGACAAATCAATTGGTATAAAAAAATTAATTGTTTTTAAGAAAAAGTATGTAATTATTTACAATGTATTTTTTTAAACAATTATTAATTTTTTTTACACTAATTAATTCCCATTTAAGAGAACATCGATCACATTGACTTGGCCTTGAAAAGATCACTCAAGGTCAAGTCCATATTTTCATCATCTGTCCCTCTTAATATCCTACAACTTTTGTCTGAAACGTTTTTCCATATCTAAAGCCGTTTCCAAGATCCAGGGGCTGGGTCAGACTTTAGAGACATCCTGTATATTGCGTAACCATCAGTATAATTACCTGAAGCGGTATAGGCCCTTGGTGAGCGAGTTTGTCTTCGATATACATATTAACTTTAATCAACTGATCTTTTAAACGCGCCGCTGAACGCTGTCGTATCACAGAACAATGGATCTTGAGCCTTGCCAATTCCTTCGCTAATCCCGCTGCTTGGTGATGATGGCCCGACGCGATGGCTCCTTCCAGCTTTCTTAGCAATCGATTTATAGCCAGAGTATTCATGTTCTTCGCCGTTGAATTATCATCTGCAACAATAGTCATATTATTAAATTTCTTTTATAAAAATGGTACTAAATCCAGGCACACACAAATTAATTAAAAATATATAACGGTTTATTTCTCCGAATATATCGATTCTTTTAAAGCTTATACATATTTCTTTATTTATCATCTTTAGTTTATTTATGATAAATAATTCAAATATGATTGTAAGTAAATAGTTGTATTATAAAAATATAATTAAATTTATATTTCGCGATTTTACCTTCTTCTATGAATTCTTTGTCGTTCAGCGTGATTTTTCTTTCGTTTATATTGGGCGATACTTTAACATGATTACTTAACGAAATATCCTTAGCTCGCGTCGAATTTGGTGATTGTTGTTTCGACAAGGAGATAGGAGGAACGTGAGCATTGACATACAGTGACGGTTCTATCAAATTGGCATAAGTGTTTTCCTTGTTAATCTCCTTCGTGGTTTTCGTAGCTTCTATCTCGGCGAAATCGCGCGGTCGTATCAGTTGGAAAGTATTCTTGACAAGGGCCGAACCTTTGCCAGAAGTTCTGTAGAACACATCTTCGTGTTTCCAACCCGACGTAGACGGTTGCTCGGCGGATGTAGAAGGCTGATTTAATCTACGGATGTTTCCACTGGTTTGGACCGACGAGGACACCTTTTGCTTATCTGTCTCGTAATCGTTCGACGACGTTGCTTCCATCCTCGTCGTCGTGATCGAGGCAACGTACGAGGTCTTGTTCGTAGATACGGGCGAGCGTTTCTCAACCTTTTCGAGAACGTCGCCGTCGTTTGACATAGGCTTCCTCGGTTTAGGCCGCTTCGGTAATGAGTGCTTCATCTCCTTCAGCATCTCCTTCAAATCTACGGTAATCGGATCCTCGACGGTATTAAGGACGGTTGATTTTGTCTTACCAGACTTCGTCTTCTGGTTTGAATTAATCAAACGCGATGTTTCCTTGTCTTGTATCGATCTTTCCAGTTGCACCGCCGATCTCGTCTTACCATCCTTCTCGGCTTCCACCAGAATATCGAGTACTTTAGCCACTCTACTCGATACAGCTTCATCCTCTGGAACTTTGTCTCTGACGCAGTCGGATTCGACTGCTGGTCTCTGCTCGAGTTTGAATTCTCTAGAACGCATCTGTCGATCGATCTCGTCGAAGATGTTCGAGAATTCTTTCTGCGCCCCCTCCAACCGTTTTCCATTTCCTTTCGCCTTTTCTCTGACGGGATCTAACGTATTTTCCGTGCTTTCAACTAAGTTACGAGCACGGGACAGCAAAAATTTCCTGCTAGTTTCATTGTTTAGTCTCGGCGATTCTCTGTCTTTTCTTTCTTCGGTGATTTCTTGTCGTGATCTTATTTTTTCCTCCGCTACCGCTAACGCGATATTTTTCTGAATAGCTAGAGACTCGTTCGTGCGATTCGCAGCGAGCTGGCTTTGTAGAAGTGATATTCTATTAGACGCTTCCTTCATCAGTTCATCGTTCTGTTCCTTGCTAGAGGTGATTTTGACGTCTACATTCGTATGCGTCGACTCCGTCTTATTATTTGATGAATTCTGCTGAGGCAAAAAGTATCTGGAGATATCTTTATCAACACGAACACTCTGGCCGAGATTCTGTTGTGCCGAGAATCTCTGACTCTTCCAGTCTCCGATCTGTTCGAATCTGCTGTTCCTTGTTACATCGCGATCGAGTTTGTAATCTGACTGATCCTTCTTAGCGAAGAAATTAGCATTAACCGTGACTTTGGTGATGTTGCTGATGGCGTTGAACTTTGAGATCAAGGCGCGTGTGCCTCGTCGAGGCGATGAGCTTTCCATCGCCGAGGTGACTATATCCTGAACGATTTCCTCATTAACATTGTTCCTCTTTTCAAAATCATCGACGAACTTTGATGTTTTCAACAACATCGACGCCCGAGTTCGCGCCTGTTCCTCTTGCACGATCGCCGCCGCTTCTTTATCCAGTTCACTAATGTTCGTCAGGATAGATAAACCGGACCTTCGTTTAACTTCCTGTCGTTTCTTATCGTCGCTCTGCCGATCACCGCGATGGAAAAAGTTTAACCTCGACGAATCAACGGAATAATTCATGTTCGTTCCTATAGACTTATCCTTTATTTCGCAGGAAGTCGTAGGACCGTGAAAAACCGTGCTTCCTTTCTTGGACGATCCGAGATCGCGAGAGTGCTCGAAGACGCCGCGCTTATACCAAGGTCGCGGCATAGCTGAACTCAAGGTAGAGCCGACAGAACTCTGCGCTTTTTCCCGAGGTATCAGAACACTGGACGTTCCAGCATCGCTTTTGTTGTTTTTCGCCGCTTTTGGACTGCCGGAAACTTCCTTCTTCGACAGCAGCATACCGCCCTGAAGAACCAGCGTGTCGTTGCTAATCGATTGTTTCTCGTCGACATTCTTCAGTTCCATGCCGCCATCGATGATAAGCTTCGATTGCTCTTCGGTGAAACGAGTTTCCGTGGTCGCTTTCTCCGGCGGTTGCGGTGCGCGTCGTTTCCGCCTGGCACTATTCCTCGCGGGCGTTTCGCGTACATCGACTTCCACGATTTTTATTACCGCGGGAGGATTTGGTGCCTTCCGTTTTCC